ACTAAGCTGTTGACGTTGATGCTCAGTTGGTCGGACCATTGATCGTATGGTATGACGATCGTATCTCTTGCCGCGGAGGGAACCGAACCTTCGTTGAGAGACCTTCAGGGCGGCGCACGCAGTCCACGATGTAGACGCGGTAACCCAACAGGTGAGCGAGGTCCGCCGTAGCTTTACCCACGTGCCCGCCGCCAACCATCACCAGCGTTGGAGGCGTGGTGAACCCTTCTACAAATATCTCCGTACCGTCTTCTGTAGAAATGGATTCGGTGTGCCTCCAGCCATCCACGCGCCGATACGCCTGGCTGACTGAGCGCAGGCTCGTCGAGCGTTTCCGCTCCCAGGGTGCCCGAAACCATGCCATCGGCGCGGAGGAGCAGCTTCGCCCCTAACCGCTCCGGGCTTCGGGGACTGTTTACAACGGTGGCCAAGCTGACCGGTTCCCCACCATCGTATGCCTCCAGGATCTCGTCTCCCAAGGGCAAGAAGTCTTCCATGCGGCGCAGAGGCTCAAGGTAGAAGTACATCGTACCGCCGCAGACCAATCCATCCCGCGCCGCTATGTCTTCATTCAGGTAATAGTCTTTAAACTCGGGTCCACCACCCTCGCGCAGCATTTCCTTGGCCGCGAACCAGATGTCACCCTCAACGCAGCCACCGCCCAGCGTACCGAGTCCGCTACCGTCATCCTTGACAAGCAGCATCGCGCCGGCCTTTTGCGGCGTGGATCCCTTGGTCCGCACCACAGTTGCCAGGACACAGGGTCGACCATCCTGCAGAGTGTCGACAGCTCCCTGGATGACTTCTTTCATGGCTCTTCCTTACCCCGCTCTATGGACCTGCGTTCAGGGGTGGGTTCATGGTGCCTAGCTTAACAAAACGCAGGCACAGCCCGCAATCTTGCAACGCCATCCCGCTATGCCAGTAATCAATTTTCATGATAATACACGCATGCGGGACTCCAATTTTCCACTGGATTCAAGTATAATATTATGTTGTATGGCAGTTGTCGCGATCACTTCTGCAAGTGCCTTGACGCCTCGGCCGGTACGTTGCAGCCTGGTGGCTCGGGGTCGGAACGGAAACGCGGGTGCATGCATGGAGCCGGATTCCTGCGGTGGGTCACCTGCCTCTCGCCAAGCGGTGCAGATGCATGGTGTCGAGGCTTGCTACTCTCAGGAGGCCCTGACGTTCACCCGAGCAAGATACGGCAGAAAGCCGGTTCCACGCAAGGTTGCAGGCTTGCATCGCCTCCGTCCCGAATACTGGACGATCTTTGAATGTCGGCTCTGGAATACGTCCTTATCGCGCGACAAAAACATAAAATGACGTGCGGCAATCTGCCGCGGAATGCAGGTATTGAATGTCGCTTTCGGTGGCAGACTGACCCAGGACCTGGCGGGGCACAGAAACGAGGGAACGAACGAGAGCGGCGAGCCGGCCACGCACTTGATTTATGTCGCCCCAGGTGCGAAGTCTGCGGCCGTCATTGGGTCGGCAGGCTTTTTCAAAGTCAATAGCTACCACCACCAAGGCCTCACCGAGGCGCAGAGGGCCCCGCGCCTAATGAGCACGGCCTACAGTGTAGAAGACGGGTTAGTGGAGGGGTTAGAGAGTCCTGAACACAGCTGGGTCATCGGGCTGCAGTGCCATCAACGGACGCGCACGAACGACAGGTTACCTCAGGCTGATTCGTCATCTTTTTGCCAGGTCTCCATGACCGTCGAGAGTTTGCGAGAGACCCTCACTGTTTAAAGAAGGCGGTGCCCGTGTTTTGTTCACTGCCTGCCCGCTGGCATTCCATACCTCCGTTGTCCTTTTGCAGGAAGGTCAACTTTGCTCTTTGCCATACCGGCGTTCCACTAGCATCAGGAGTGTAGTCCTATGGTAACGACCGCCCCAGTCCCACCCGGAGAGCAACCGATTCGTATCGCCGAAGAGATGCGGACCTCATATCTGACCTATGCGATGAGCGTCATCGTAGCGCGGGCACTCCCCGACGTTCGGGACGGGCTCAAACCGGTGCAGCGGCGCATAATGTATGCGATGCACGACATGGGTATCCGACCTGGATCCCAATTTCGCAAGAGCGCCCGAATTGCTGGAGAGGTGCTGGGCAAGTTCCATCCGCACGGCGAAGGTTCCGTATACGACGCCCTGGTGCGGATGGCGCAAGACTTTTCAATGCGCTACCCGCTGATCGGGGGCCAAGGCAATTTTGGAAGTATCGACGGTGACCCTCCGGCGGCTATGCGGTATACCGAGGCTCGTCTGGCGGCCATAGCGGACGAACTGCTAGCCGATATTGACCAGAACACTGTGGACTTCGTTACCACCTTTGACGACTCTCTCACTGAACCCACGGTGCTCCCCGCGCGACTACCGAACATGTTAGTCAATGGGGCGTCGGGAATAGCGGTGGGAATGGCAACCAACATACCCCCGCACAACCTCGGGGAGATCTGCGACGCCCTGGTCCACCTTATCGACAATCCCGATACGGCAACAGAACGGCTGATGCGCTTCGTCAAGGGCCCGGACTTTCCGACAGGGGCCAAGGTGAGGGGCCGCAAAGGGATAGTGGACACCTACACCACGGGCCGTGGCCGAATCATCATGGAGGCCGACACCGAGTTCGAGGAGACTCGCAACAACCGCGAACAGATCATCGTCACCTCTCTGCCCTATCAGGTTAACAAGGCCACTCTGATCGAGAGAATAGCTGCCCTTGCTCGTGAGAAGAAGATCGACGGTATCTCCGACATACGCGACGAGTCGGACCGGCGAGGGATGCGCATAGTCATCGAGTTGCGCCGGGACGCCCAGCCCCGTGTTGTACTGAACAACCTGATGCGACAGACGGCGCTGCGGTCTTCATTCAACTCCATAGTGCTGGCCCTTGTGGACGGTCAGCCCCAGGTACTGCCCCTTCGCCGCTGCCTTGAACTGTTCATCCAGCATCGCCAGGAGGTCATCCGGCGGCGGTCCGAATACCAGCTGCAACGGGCCCGAGACCGTGATCATATTGTGCAGGGGCTGCTGCTGGCCCTGGACCGGATCGACGAAGTTATAGAAATCATTCGCAGCTCAGCCGATGTTGAGGAATCGCGAAACAACCTGATGCAGCGTCTGGACCTTTCGGAAGTCCAGGCCCAAGCCATCTTGGATATGCAGTTGCGTCGCTTGGCTGCCCTTGAGCGTGAGCGTCTCCAGAACGAGCACCAAGAGCTGCTGCAGAGGATAGCGGAACTAGAGGCCCTGCTTGGCGACCCGGAAAAAATTCTGTCCGAAATCAAGTCCGAAACGCGAGAGCTTAAGAAGTCGTTCAACAACCCACGCCGGACGGTGATCTTTGATGAGGAGGTCGGCGAGGAAACACCAGAGTCCCTCATACCCCAAGAAGATGCGATGATCACCCTGAGCCAGCGCGGGTACGTGAAGCGGGTGCCGCCAAACACCTTCCGTCAGCAAAACCGAGGCGGCAAGGGCGTTCGTGGAATGACTACCCGGGAAGGCGACGCCATTCTCGACCTTGTAGTGGTCGACACTCACAGCACGTTGTTCTTTTTCACCAACAGGGGTCGCGTCTACCCCCTACGGGCCTTCCAGATTCCAGGCGATGCCTCTCGCACGTCGCGGGGCGTCCTGCTCTCGAACCTGCTTCCGCTGCAGAGAAACGAGCAGGTTCAAGCCATGCTGCTCATCGCAAACCCGAACGACGACTACCCACTCCTGCTTGCCACGCTGAAGGGGCAGATCAAATCGCTCAAGACCGGTGAGTTGACCAACATTCGCCCTTCGGGGTTGATAGTGATGAACCTCGCATCGGACGACGAGCTTGTGTCCGTGGCGCAGGTCGGAGACGCCAAGGACGCCATGATGGTATCCGAGCGCGGCCAGGCCATTCGATTCGCCATCGACGACCTGACACCCCGCTCCCGAACCGCCGGAGGAGTTCGTGGCATTCGGCTGATAGGGGACGACAGGGTCATATTCATGGGCGTCGTGACTACAAACAGCCAGCTGCTGGTGGTCAGTCAACGCGGGTACGGCAAGATGACGGCCACGTCCAGCTACCGTTCCACCGGACGCGGCGGACAGGGTGTTCGCACATTCCAGTTGACGGAAAAGTCCGGTCCCCTTGCGGCGGCGCGGATAGTCAACGACCCTGAGAATCAGGAGATGCTGATCATTTCGGCATTGGCGCAAGTAGTCAGAATCAGCACAGAAGATGTGCGGGAGACAGGACGCATCGCACAAGGGGTCATCCTCTGGAAAGAACGTGGATCCGACGACCAGGTGGCGTCCATCGCGATCTTCCAGGAGACAGACCGAAACGGCGAGGCTGCCCCTCCGGCCAATGGGCATCGCCGCAATGGTCGCGCCAGCACCAACGGACACGAACCTGAAACGCAGATCGACGACGAGGACGGGCAGGAAGACGAGGTGGACGAATAAACCACGGGCAATAACATCGCATTTGTTGGTGGGGGCGGAAATATTTCCGCCCCCTTATTTTTGTCTTAATTTAGGTGGGTTTCTTCTTGGTTACGGACGAATCTCGTCTCATGTTTCGCTTTGAGGCTTACGAATACCGAGAACCAACATCGGATTGCCATCATCAAGTTGATATTTCATTCGTCGTTAAGTACAATGTTCATCAGTATTGATATTAGTGATGGTGCAGTATCGGCATCGTTGATTAGGAGAGATGGGAAGTTGGGGATGAAGCTCGTCTTTCTTCATGGAGCGGGGTGCTCCAGCCTTTCTTTTTACTACCAGCTGAGGCACTTCAGGAGCGCAAAGGCAATTGACCTGCCGGGGCATCCTGACGGAAAGCCATGCGAAACGATAGAAGGCTACCTTGAATGGGTACGCGGCTTCATCAAGGCCCGCCGCTACAAGAACGTCGTGCTGTGCGGCCATTCAATGGGCGGCGCGATCGCGATGCGATATGCTGAAAGGTATCCGGAAGAACTGCGCGGGCTCATCCTCCTCGGGACGGGAGCACGTCTCCGTGTTCACCCCTACTACCTGGAGCGTTGCGAGGAGCCCGGAGAGAACAACGCACCTTGGCTGGAACAGCACTTGGAATACTATCGGGGACGTCCAAGAAGAGGTGTTTCCGGTATTGAAGCAGCGGGCGGCCGAAGTGGGTCCACAAGTGGAATTGAACGACCTAAAGGCATGCGACAGCTTTGACATGATGGACCGCGTGGCAGAAATCAAGCTGCCGACCCGGGTTATCTGTGGAGGCGATGACGTGATGACACCGGTCAAGTATTCCGAGTTCCTGACGAACAGTATTGACGGAGCCAGCCAATCCGTCATCCCCGGCGGAGGCCACTTTGTACACATGGAAAAGTACCAGAAGGTCAACGAGGAGATAGAGGAATTCCTCACGTCATTCAGGGGTTAGCGCCAAATTCCAAATTCTTGGCTGCGTAAGGAATAATAAAAGCGCTGGTTTGATTAAACCGGCGCTCTTATTTTTTGCCACTGTACTGGTCAGATGTTAGCTGCGGTGTGGGTGATACCACCGGCTGCGGTAGAACATCAGCGGGTTGTCGTACTCGTTGCGGCGGATTTCCTTGACCTCTCCCATGTAGACCGTGTGGTCGCCGTACACGTGAGAACCAATAACGTCGCAGTCCATAAAAATTGCTGAGCCATCCAGAACTGGTACGCCATTCTCCGATTCTGAAAAGCTGTAATCCACCCCACCGGTGCGGTCCTGCGGTTTCTTGGCGAAATATGCCCCGACTTCCTCCTGGGCCTCGCAGAGGAAGTTGACGCCGAACCTCTGCCGCTCCTCAAGGTAGCCGAAAGTATGCGTTCCGTGGGCAATGCAGACCAAGACTATAGGCGGGTCCAGACAAACAGAGGTGAAGGAGTTAGCGGTCATGGTGTGGGGGTTGCCTTCGTCGTCCAGCGTGGTGATTACGGTCACACCGGTGGCGAACTCGGACAGCGCCGAGCGGAATTCGTTTTTGTCGAACGAAACCATATACACCCCAAGTTGGTTATCGGGGGAGCTACCTGCGCCTGCGGAGGAGCGCCCAACGACGAGTCATTAGAAGCGCCGATATTCCAACCCGGTAAATTTGCGCCATTATAATACGCAATTACTGGGTTGCGCTACTATCCCGTTTGGCTAGTCACTATGCATTGTTGTGAGAAGAAATCAGGGAAAGGGATGGAAGCATTCCGCAATCCTCTCCGGGGCCGCACTGGCTGCGGCTTCGCCGTCCAGCTTGACCACCACCCCCGGTGGAATGAGGCCGGTGAACAGGTCTGGATGAGTCAGTTGCGCCAGGATCTCCAAACCAATCACCACCCTGGGGCCCGGACAACTGAAATAGGCGTGATCGATCAGATACACCTCGCCGGATTGCACCGCTGGAATGTCCCTCCAGCCCCGCTGGCCGGCCAACCACGGGACCTCTCGCAGGTGCCGGGTCACGTCAGACGAACACAGGTCAACGAACAGCTTCTCCGGCGCAGCGTCCACCACGTCCTCCCACTCCAGTCGCCTGGCGTTGCAGCCCGGTTCGAGTGCCGTCAGGTGGCCGCCGGCAATCTGCAGCATATCCGGAATCCAGTGCCCACCTGCCACCAGGGGATTGACGCCCTCGAGAGAGAATACCGACGGCCTTTTGGACACACTCTTCAATGTCGATCCTACCGCGTCCGCTCGGCGTCGCAGGGACTGGACCAGTTCGGCGGCTCGACGGGGGACCTCGCAAACCTCTCCGACTTCTATGATTGAATCCAGGATTTCATCGAAAGTCCTGGGCTGCAGCACCACAACCCTGGGCTGTATTGACATGCCGCGCACCGCGAGATTGACCTCGCCTGCGTCAATTTCGCATATATGGCACAGGTCCTGGGTGAACACTATGTCGGGCAGTTCCCTTGCCAGCCATTCGTAGTCCAATTCGTAGGGACTTTCGCCGCTGGCCAGGATGTCCCTCAGGGCTTTCTCCACCTCTTCGCTGGACATCACCGCCGGGTCAACCCTGCTGCGGCTGACCACTGGCTTGGTATTCAGGATCTCCGGCGGATAGTCGCACAGGTCGCTGACGCCGATTACACTCTCACCCAAGCCCAGTTCCCAGAGAATCTCGGCACCACTGGGCAGCAGGCAGCAGATCTTCAAATCATCATCTCGCCGTAGATAGAATCGGGGCCACGTCAGCACCGCTGTTGTATTATAGGGGCAACCAAAGCTCGCGTTACCTTAGGGCAACACCATCCGCAGCGCCGCAATCAAATCCCGCCAGCATTGCCCTCCCGATCCTCGCTCCTCCCCGGCTTTCCAATGTTCTGCATCCTACACTGGCGTGCGCCGTAAATGTCCACCATTCGGACAGAGACATCCTGGAGCAGCTTCGCGCTCATCCGCCTGAACGCCTTCAGCTTCGGCGTCTCCGGGTTCGTCCTGGCTATGGATACTGCGGTGTTGCCGGTGATCATCCTGTCGCTGGCGCCGGAGCATCTGAAGAACAGCTACCTGGCGATGCTGGGCATGGGAGGCCTGCTGGTTGCCGCGGTGGTTCAGCCGCTGATTGGAAGGTTGAGCGACCGCACCCGATCTCCCCTGGGGCGCCGTGTTCCGTACATTGTGGCGGGGACCATGGCCGTGTGCGGGAGCCTGGTGCTTACGCTGCTGGCGCCCAGCATCGGTGCCCTGATGGGGGCGTGGATATTCATCCAGGCCAACCTGAACGTCGCCTACGGTCCGGGGATGGCACTCATCAGGGACCTGGTCCCCCGGAGCCGCATAGGAGTGGCATCCTCGCTGAAGGTGCTGCTGGATGCTATCGGGGGCCTGGCGCTGATCACTGCCAGCGCCGCTCTCATAGGACAGGCCGGAGTTTCGGGCCTGGGACCCGTCGAAGTGTATGTGGACTGGGAGTGGGCGGTACTGGGCCTGCTGGTGGCTGCACTCCTGATTTCGGTGGCCATTACCTGCGCCACCGTGCTCGCCCGGGAGCCTGGGAGGCGGGAACGTCCCGTCAGGAGGCGAGAGGCACCCGCGAGGCCCGTGTTGAACCCGCAGTTCGTGCTGTTCCTGGTTTCCAGGCTGTTCATGATGACGGCGATCTACGCCTTTCCGACGTACGGGCTGTTCTTTCTGCGGGACGTGGTGGAGGCGGCCAACCCAGCCCAAGCACTGAGCCAAGCGATACCGGCGATCGGCGGCTCGCTGGCGGTGGCGGTCTATTTGGCCGGTTGGGTTTCCGACCGGGTGGGCCGCAAGCCAGTGCTGATTGCGGGCGCAGTGGCCGGGGCGGTCAGCACCTCGTGGCTACTCATGGTCGATACCGCGGGCGGCGTTGTCATCACGGCCAGCGTCATCGGCGCATCCGCCGGCACGGTGCTGAGCACCAGCTGGGCCCTGGCGAACGAGATGGGGGATGAACAGCGGGCTGGGACCCATATCGGCATCGTGAACCTGTCCACGGTAGGGGGAGCGGCGATACCCAGGCTTTTCGGGCCGGGGATCGACCTGCTAAACCACACCTCGGAAGACCTGGGCTACCGGGCACTCATCGCCGGCTGCGCCGTCCTATTCGTGGCAGGGGCCCTGGCCCTGCTTGCGGTGAACCCCACTCAAGCGGAAACGGGGCCGCAAATTGAGCCGGCGGAGCCGAGTGCAGCTCCACCGGCTGAGAATTGAACTGAAGGGGCCAATCCGGGTGAGTCCGGGTCAATCCGGGCCCTTCGGCCAGGGCAATCGCGTCTCATTACTCAGCACATAATATTGGTCTGAATGGCGGTAGAGATGAGAGTGGCAGTGCCTCCTTCAGTTCCGGGTGCGAGGGTAGACGGGGGTTTGGATTCCCGCCTGCGCGGGAATGACGACTAATAGGGCCTCCAGCGTTTAACACGCGATTGCCCTGGCCCTTCGGCGGCTACTTGGCCGAGTAGGCAGACGGGGAGCAACCCGGCCACGGGATTGATCCCT